TCTGACCCGTGAAGTGAGTAAAATAAAGTCGAGGAATTTAAATAGAAAATAAAATTATAATTACGGTTTACAACCCCAGGTAAAAAATTTAAACATTTCTGGAGAAGACAAAATTTCCAGAGCTGGAAATAACAAAAATTAACATAATTGCTTAAACTCAGATGAATTTAAAAATTGCAAACTGTTAAGTGAGATAGGTGTTACTGTGTGTTCTTTAATTGAATAACATTTTTCATTTTTTATACACTGGTCTTAAGGAAATTGAAAATACCATATATTAATAGTAATAAATTTTACTTCAATCCATTGGACGTCTTTCCATTAATTGGCACCGCCAATGGCAAACACCGGCGAAATCTGTTGTCCATTTCTGACAGCCGTAATCAGCACAACCGTCCAGAATTCTTAAAGATTTAAACAGTACACAAATAAAAATCAAGGCTGACCCTCACCATCAATTTTGATTAATCAGCACAATTTCAACCTCTCATCAATTCCTAAAGGTCAATGAATTCATCCAGGAAGCTTTTAATAAAAGAGTCAGCCGATTGTCACGTGTCTAGGTCTAACCCTTCAGCAAAGTGGCTTGTCGGCCTCTACACAAGTTAAAATCAATAGGCACCCCTGTATATCAACGAAGGGCGCATCCTGACCAGAATTTGGGGAACACAGCAATGCTGGCAGAACACAACTGTCCAATATTTTCTTCGTCTCAATTTTTTGAGTTTTGTCTAGAAATATAAAGGATAATGTCAAAAATGTATTCCATTCAATAGCAATTCGTCTTTGAATTTCTTCAGCAGACACGTTGTAAAATCTTTTCTAGGTAAATAAATTATTTACATAAGTCATTTTTTCATCATTCGCATTTACTTCTATCTCATCGTTATTCGTCATCGTCATACTTTTACTAGCGTTTATGGTTAGACTCGCTGTCTGTCCGTAACATAACTACATAGCTAGGAGAATTCAGACGCTGTCCGAAAGAGAATTCTAGCGGCCCGCTTTTCTGATAAGTAGTTTCTCCGGTCAATATCAGGCGGATGCCGCAGAATATTCCCCGCAAGTGGATGTAGGTCGGTGCCGAATCTCACCCTCCAGCCAGGGGGAGATGGCTCAACTGATGTCATTGCAGTTCCTCTGACCGGGAGGTCGTAGGTTCGACACCCGACGGTGGCAGGATGCATTGGTGCATTGAAGATCGATCCTTACAATACTAGCTAGCTAGATAGTTATTGATCTAGCTAGTGAGATCGAATTCCGTTGCTGCCTGGAGGAGAATTCTAGAGGCCGGCTGCTCTAATCGGTAGTTTTCCGTGGTTTCTCCGATCAACACCAGGCGAATGCCGGAGCAGTACCCTAACAAACGGGCCTCGGACCGCGCGCGATCTTTTCTTCCCATTCCATGTCCTGTCCTGACATCATGTTGGGAGACCCGTCAGGAGCTAAGAACTTGTCCCGGCTGGAGCGGTGCTGCGCTGGCGCGAGATACCTGGTTGAGGAAAACCCCGCTAGCTGGCGGTAGGTCGCCGCCGGATCTCGCCATACAGCGACGGAAATGTCACCACCACCACCACCTCCCGAGCAAAAATCATGCATTACACTTACGGGATTAATGATCCTGCTAATTGATGTTCCCGGAATCACTAAACAATCATTCAATCAATCCCGAACATGCACTGCATTTCAGGACTGCCGACCTTAGAAGTTGAGTCGCCCGGAATGACTAATCAATGAATCCCTTGGGTTCGGGTTCACGCGGGCACTGGGCATCAGCCGGGCGGCGGCGCGATCAGTGTTTGTGTAGCAGGTCGGCGCCTTATCGCGGGAGATTTTTAACTTTCCTCTCTCGGAGGAAGAAAGGAGGAGAGGGCAATTACCTCTCCCGGCTGCGAATCTATTCCTCACGGCCAATTTGCAGTAACTCAGAGGGCGGTGGTTATCGAGCGCACAGACAGAGAGCGCCGCCGCAGCAAACGAGCGCCGATGGGAGCACACTTGATGAAGTACATAAATAAGGCATTGCATTATCAGGCATCGAAGAGCAGCGATTTCTCAGCGTTCGGGCCACACCGCGCCTCCTAACATTCCTCTATTCCCTTCTCTGAAAGGCCCTTATCTCGCAAGTAAAGATAAATAGCCTTAATGTATTTCTCAACGTGCCCATCAACGAGGCGCCCGCGATAAGGCATTCTGTGAGCACTTGGAAATATGCTTCACTAGGCTATGATATGTGCGCGCCTTATTTCACGCGCGTATTTCGTTTTTACTGGCAATTGCCTCCTCCTCGGGGCAGGAGAGGAGGGGGTGAGCTTTTCAATCGCGTCGCAGGGCTCGTAGGGGGGGGCGGTCCCTCTTTTTGTGCCGGAGCGTTTGCGGTAATGTATGCGATAGTTCTTGCACTTTGGGGTCGCTGCGATTCCATTCCCGTCGCGAGGTCTAATGCTCATTTTCAGTAATTGATGGACGTTTCTGTCCTGATTTTTGTGAGGCTGCTTTTTTTTACTCGTTTTGTACGTCTTTCAGCTCGTTGCGTGTCTCCTTTCTCGTAGTGGGAACAAAGATAAATTAGTTTAATATTCGTAATGGCACTTTTGTGTTGGCAAACTCAATTTCAAGTTAATTTTGTGATTCTTCGGCGGTAATTTTTTTTTCATCTAAACCGTTTACCTGCTCCTATCTCTCGAGAGTATTCTTTCAACTTATATGCGCTTTATTAGCATTGTAATGTTTTCAGAAAAATAATATTTCTGCATGGTAAATGACTCTAATGCATATTCCCTCGTGTACGTAAAGTTCATTACATATATTTATCACTATAAATCTAATACAATAATTCGATGCCAATCTTCATTACATTCTCTTGTATTGTGGGTGAATTAGTATTTCCAAACGATTTCTTTGAAGATGTAACATTCATTCTCAATTGATGCACTGTCAAGTGTCAGGAAAATGCCTAAAAACTAGTTATTATCTCTCTTTCTGTCATTCTCTTTAGTTTTCTTGATTTAATACATGCAGGTGTTTAAAATGAATAGCTTGTTTTGTTCCTTCTTACAAGAGAAGATATAATCAGAAAAAAATCTGAAAATAACTCTCTTTTTCTCCCGTGACTAATAAAATCAGTTCCTGAGAAATGGTTGGAAACCGTACAAGGAAGATGTAGGAACAAAAGTTCTCAAAGACAGTGTATTGATTTATTAAATTAGTAATTAAATAATTAATAACACCTTAAATAATCAATAACTGATTCAAATACATTCTTAACATTAATTGCAACTAGTTATATTAAATCCAGAAAATAAATCAGGTAATAAGGTCTCATCCAACTAGGAACAGCACACTTTAGAATTTCAATGGTGGTGGTGTTTGACAGGAATGCGTTGGCCGAAACGAAACGAAGCTTTCCCCTGTTGATATTGGGGCGATTAGTGAGGCCGCCCCGCCGTGTAGGTACGAGGATTATTGCAGGCAGATGGGCGATTCCCTCGCGGACGAGCTCTCCCTCCGCTTGGAGCGGCGTCCTTCCTCCCACGCCACCTCGCGCGAAGAGGCTCCTCGAGTACAGAGCAACACAGCAACATTTCGGCCAGAGGCGCAGTACTCTGCGACAATGTGCGTCTTGTGGGACGAGTTGTTGATGGACAATGCGGATTGCTCTCAGTCAAACTGAGGAATAAATGGAAAGGGAAGTTCAAGCGAAACAGGACCGAATACATGCAACTAATAATAATTTAGGCTTGTATAGTTTTTATGGTTTTGATGATTATTGATTAATGATTAGTCTTTTTGTAAAAAATAGCACTTTTAACTTATAGATAACGCATTTTTAAACTTTTGATTAAGATTGACAGGTACCACCAGCTGATAACATTAGAAGTGGCTGCTCTGAGAAGTTATACCTGACCTTAAGGCCATTTCCGAAAGGCATTCTACGGGCTTAATAATAATAATAATAATAATAATAATAATAATAATAATAATAATAATAATAATAATCAGGAATCTCCCACGTGCGGGGCCCGTCCCAGCTGGGGCAATCTGCGAGCTCCTGTAGGGTATGTGGGTGTAAGTGTGTGTAGGTAAGAGATGAGGGTAAGACAAGGAAAGAGCACGCGCGGTCCGTTGCCCATTTGTTAGGTTGCTGCTCCGGCATTCGCCTCGAACTAATGGGAGAAACCACGGTTAACTAGCGATCAGAGCAGCCGGCCTCCAGAACTCTCCGTCAGACAGCGACTGAATTCGACCTAATAAAACACTTAATCTAATCACTTAATAAAAATATTATAATAGGTTTGTTTAAGTAATTCTAGTTTGCTTGTTTAAGTTAAGTAAATACAAAATGTATATACATCTAATTCAAATTAACAGCTATTAGTTGCTTCTTTGCATGGAGACATGAATTCTTTTTTTTGTTTTGGGAGCTATTTTGTTTCAAACAAGCGGCCCTTTATCTACACTCCCAGGCGCCATGTTTCCTCTGGACGCCCCCTGTCCAGAGAAAACAGTAAATTGTTTTATGTTTATGAAGGACTTCGTTTCCGGCGGAACGCGACGGAACGGCGGTCCGATACCTCGGGAATAATTATTAACTTTTTTTATTAAATTAATTATTAATTTGGGGCGCGTTCCGGAACCTAAAATTTTATAAATCAAGCACTGAGTATATTCAATTCCTCAGTTTACAACCAATTCATGTCATGGAATAATCAAGACCCGTTCAAAGAATAGTGCAAGAATAATCGTTTTTGCCATACTTAAAAAAATAATTTACAGAATTGCGCAATAAATTTTCTAGCCACTTGTAAAAAACGTTATTCCGCCGTCCGTGTTGTAAATTGAATGTAGTGCATAGTGTGCAATGCCTCATCACTTACATCATGGATCACTCAATACAAAACAAAGAGCATATCGAATTTCTTGCATTAGTGTAAACGTACAACTTAGTTGCGACGGTCTTGGGATCTTTTGAATCGAGCGCGACGGGGACGCTACTGCGCATGCGCATCCGATCCCAGCGATCGATGGAGAAATCGATAGTGAGCACTGCGAGACACCAGAACCCGACAGAGTGGAAGTCGCGACTTTTCTGTAACAAGCAACCGCCTCGAGAAAATGTGGTAGATCGAGCCTCCGTTGGAACGGGTCCACAGGACAACAACAGGACTGATTTTGTTGCTGAAAAGATGTAAGTGGTGATTTTACATGTGGATTCCATAAATCTGAAATTGAACATAATTTGGAAGGGGTGTTACGAGGAAATGAAGTGAGTTCTGCGTTCAGAGTACGAACGACAGATGGTGGACACGGTTGTAACGGCTACTATGAAATATTTGTAGATCTTCCCAGCTGTTGGGGTTAGGACTATACTTATGCAATTAAAATATGGATAAGAAAACCAATTCTGACCGCGATTGTACAAGAAACGGAAATTTTATGGTCAACGACGTCTCGGATGACAACTGCATTCGGCATTCTTCGCGTCGCAGCGCATGGTGCTGCCTGGGGATCTACTTGTGCTGGATCCACGTGCATCAGGCTTCTTTCCTGGCGTGGGGGGGGGGGCGTCAGCGTGGCATTGAAATAAAAAATATTTTTTCTCTGTGGAAAAATAGGCAGTTCATCAAACACTTGATATCATGCACATGAATTTCGCCCTAACATGAACAAAGGTTTGGTCTCGGTAAGGAGGCATTGTAATACGGAGAAACATATTAATCGAAAAATACGAATTTTTATTGCATAAATCGTTATTGCAGCCTTTGAAATTCCTGTAAAAGGAGATTTTGTCTAAATGGTGACTGATTCTCGTGAAGGATGGCAGTTGGTCGTTCGTAGTCTGGGAGCGTAGCAAGGCATATCAGTCAAGGTCACACCTTGAACCGTTGTTCTTCACTGACTGCGAGGGGAGAGAGAGTTTCTGAACGAGGTAAGTTCAACTGAGGGCAGAAAAATGCAACCTGAGATTGTTACAATTTTAGCAGAGAATTAAACGGTATTACGACAGTGTAGAGAAAATGGGATTTGGGAGTCAGGCAAACATTATTATATAGTGTTTTTATAGTAAATTTGAGGAGATTAGGTTTTTCTTATGTTCATTATTGTAAATAATAGCTTTTGGTCGGGCTTATTCTGGTATTTTATTACAATGTGTTATAATTTGCATGACGTACTTACTCATTCATTACAGAGAAATATTGTGCCAGCCAGCATTCCAACTAGATTGAACAATCTCGTTGTCATATATTCCGCTTATTTAATAGTAGTACATTTTTTCTTGGAAGATTATATTACATGTGTTCTGATCAATGAAGGTATTTTTCAGAAAGTGTGTATTTCATCTGTTAAGTGTTTCATGATCCGTATGTTGCTTATTTCGAGTATAAGCCGAATTGGAAGTGTTTAATTATGTTTTGGAACATAATGTTAGAGTAAAAACATATTCAGACATTGAATATTGTGTCAATGTTTATGCATTTACATACAGTTATACAACTGATAGTTTTTCTAAATAAGTATTTAAAAAGAACAAAATAGACAAAGGTAAATGAGTACAAAATTCGTTTATTTTTATAACCAAGTTATCTTACTGAAATTAAGCACAGAAAGTATTCCAAAAATTAAAATGTTCATAAAACTTTAATTCAAATTGTTTTTTTTTTTGTGGTAAATGCCTATCGCTTCCAATCTTCGTGGTGTATAACTGACCAGATTCAATGTCAAGTTGGCCTGAATATTATTCCATTCCATTACTCCATTTTTAGTGTCCGCTTACAAGAAATGTTCATCGTTCGAAGCCGTCTGTCTACCTTTTCCCAAATATGTTCTATGTGGTTGATGTATGATGAGTGAGGGGGAGTAGGGAGGTAGAATGGGATGTTGTATAGTATCCAGACCCAACTACTGAACGCGAAGTGCTTGCGATCGTTATCGTACACACATATTAAGTCCTCACTAATCTCCTGTTTTTCAACTCTATTCTTCACATTAACCTTCAGTACTTCTATAGTGTTGGTGATCCATTTCTCTCACCATAAACCGCAAGAATCTCTGCGGCCTCAGGCTTCTCTACACTCTCTATGCCACCATGCTTCATTCTCTTCAGCAAGGTCGGTCTTTTCTCATCTCTTCTTCCTTCGGATTGGAAGGTGACGTATTAGCTTTCGTTTGTAAAATTATTTTTTTATAATTCTTTGATGATTTTCAGCGAACAGCAATGTTTTCTTCTTATTTACTTTATTGATGAATTATGTTTTCGAACAACTCTACCATGGTATTCGTTTCTTCTCTGTTTGAACAGTATTTCCTATACATTTAGTTGGAGATGTTTTCTAAGACCAGCAGTAAATTTTGGAGCACTAATGTGAGGATTCTCTTTATTGTTTTCTGATAATCACTCTACCACCTCTACTCACCAATTTATCGTGACCGTCCGTTTCTTCTCAGACTTTTATGTGATTTTCTTTCTCCAAATCTGTTAATTACTCCAAGGATCATGGTCATAATTTTCGAAATTTCATTCATTGTTTTACACTGATTATATATCATAATAATCACTTGTCGCTCTTCTTCAGTGATTTATTTACCTTTGCGGCCCCTTCTTGTTAGTCACGGCGTTTCACGGAGAGTGGAAAGCGAAGTTGTTAGTGACGCTGAATGTTTTTCAGATCAATGAACTGTTGCCTAAGGTTCTGTTGATAAAGGATTACGAGCAATAATATATGTCTTACTAAGCGTTGGAATCTCAAGTAAATTCAAATTCAACTTTAATACGTTCAGATTATTATAGATGGTGAGATGTGATGTTTTCACAACACTTTTCGAACATCAGAAAACTCCCTACTTTCGCTTCGTCAACATTAACCTCACATTCTCATATTTTCTCGAAGAAGAAATGTGCAATACTTTCAATAGATGGATTACACCTCACACTAATACTACAAACGCACCCTCCCTAAGAGGAGAGAAACCCCTCCTCTACGGCTCCGGCTCCGGCTACCTACATCTCTTCATCTACTCGTAATTCTCTGTACCTACTCTCGGAAGCCACGCTAAGCCCGTGTAGGTGGTGCAAGAATTGATTTCTCAAAGCAATGCAGCGCTTGTCGGTATAATAAAGGCACAGCTTTATTTGTGCCACCCTCGTTTCATTAGTCTTCGAAATATAATACTGAACGACATTGAACAATGGCTTGCGGATTTTCTTTATTCTGTTGAGTTGATACGTAGAACATCTCTAACGTTTCTTTAACCACATCCCCCACCCCCATGATTTTCGGCGTGCATCCTTCTTGTTCAAAATGTTGAGTTATGTTCCAACTTTCCAAGCCATTTCTCAACCGTGTTGATTTTCGCGACTTCATTCAATTGTTTGCTGAATATTTTCTGCGTGAGTTTATTCAATGGTGGATCTTAAAAGGATGCCTGGCACTTGTTAAAAGATTCTGAGTAATTGAGCACCAACGGCTGTTGCGCGTTGCTCCTAGCCCATGGCCGCAAGTGACGCAGAGGCGCGGTGGCTGCCGCGCCGTGGTCGGGGTCGCCGTGGATCGCCGGTCGGAGGCCGCCAGGGCACGTTGCGGAGAGAAAGTCGCCTGCCGCCGACGCAACCGACAGCAGCGTCTCGTGCGCTCGTGAACCTTCGGCCGAGAGCTCTGCCAGCGCTGCCAGCCGTTTGGTTGGTGGGTGGGCTGCGGCAGGACTCAGCGCTCAACACGCGCATACCACCGCCATTTCGGTACACCAATGAGCCAATGCCCGACCCCACAATAAATTGCAAAATGGCTGGAGGAAAATGTTATGTGTGAAAGAACTAATGCTTCTCGTATTGACCAATATGTTATTTTTCTTCTGTAAGATTATACCGGGAGAGGTCGCTCAGGACATCCACTGATGTCACTCGGTGCCTCTGCCCGGTAGTCCTAGGTATGAGTCCCGATGGAGCAGGATTTTCGAAACTAATTGTCAGAAGGTGGAGTTCAGTCGCTGAGTGGAGGAGAATGCTACCGGCCGCCTGCTCTGATCGATACTTCAACAGCGCGCGATTTTTTCTTCCTCTACCTTGTCCTTTTCTCACCCCTTACTTACGCACTTACTTGCACACACACTTACAAGCACTACACTACCACACATGCCGGGAGACCGGTCGGGTGCTTAGACCTTGTCGCTACTGAGGCTGTGCCCCGCTGTGGGAGATACTTGGGTGGGGAAACCTCCGCTAGCCCAAGTAGGGCACCGCCGAATCTCGCCATGCAAAAAACAGGCACTACACATACGGGGAAAACGACCTCATTAGTTGACGTGTCCGGGATCACTAACAATCAATTATCAATTCTGTAAGATTATGTTAAACCATTTGGAGTATAGCAAGGCTTATGGAATGTATATGAATATTTTCGTACTTGCGTTCCTTTCGGCTAATGCAGATCGCAATGTCTGTTGTTGTTTTTCTTGATCACCATTTACAATGTTTCTTCTATTGCACAGCTGTTGCTACATCGACCTATTGTTAACTAAGATTGCAACGTGTTTAAGGCCAGACCTCACTGCAAGGGAACGCCGGGGTGTCCGCGAGTAGATTAAGCGTGGTGACGGATTCGAACTTCTTTCTAAACATCTACAAGCGTTAAAGGAAAAAACTATCACGTAGGGATTAGAAAGTTTCTGATAAGTGAAGTCGTAAAAAGAAACAGTAATTCTTCACCTAAACTAAGATACATGAAAAAACTTTGCTGAGATATATTGTTAACCCCCTTTGGTATGGGACTGTTATTATTCATTAAATGTGCTAGAAATTGTATGTGATTACGTATTTGTACATTTGTGACGATCATTTTTTGTCGGGTGATTGCGATAACGTTTTGAGTGATTTGAATAGTTTTTTAATTATCCGTATTGGTTCATATTGTAAGGTAATACACATTTTACCACATTTAAGGAAAACTAGCATTTCTTTGCTTATTTGAACTTCCTATCTGGTCAACGTTGTAATCTCTCATTTGTATTGTTTTTGGAGTATTATTTTTACCTTTAGTTCAATTTGAAATGGTGAATGGGATTTACGAGTAGATCAGGAGCTAAACTCCCCAGTGTACTACCAGGTACAAGAGGAGTTCCACCACTATGTCTGATGTTGAGCGGCAGTTTAGTCAGTACAAATCAATATTAAGAAATACGAGAGCACTTTCACTAGTTCACAAATATTTTACACAATCCGTTGAAGTTCACAACTCTGTAAATGTCCAATTATTAGGTAAGGATGAAGGAGCTTACTTTCATTGTTTCAATAATATTCAATGTATTAATTACTAGACATGAAAGTTTATTCTTCTGCTAATATTAAAACAAAGTTCTTTGTCGTTATATTTATGAAACTTAAACGTTTGATAAAAACAGTTTCACTGTTTTCATTTTTTATTCAATTATCTGTACATCTTGTACTCCATATTTTTAATACATATGTATGTGCAAATGCTTAGGCACATGTTTCTCTATATAAAACAAAACCGTGTTTACTAATGATGCCGGAGAGTTGTTTTGCGTTAAATAGGCAAGGCTTTTGATGAGCCATTAACAAGGTACGTCATTCTCGTGCATGGGATGGGATTCTTCGTCACCGAATAAACTTTGTTAGAATCGAAGAAGGTAATCCAAGAATATCAACTGCTATAGTGTTGCTTTCTCGCTGATTTGATATCTCGGAACCTAAGCTGTCTGGTATTGTGCGTCAGAGAACACAGCTTCCGCTTAAAAAAAGAACAACAAAAGCGACACGGCCCACATTTTGTTCAGGTTTGCAGGTAGATTTCCATCTTGGTCGGATTTGGTGTCATGAAAAAAAGTAAATAATGAAAAAATAAATAATAAGAGGAAGAAACAATAATGCCGCACCATAAAAAAAATACATCGGGAAATAGAAAAGGCAAAACGAAAATCTTCTAAAACACGACCCGAAGAGCACTTGTGAAGTGATTTCTATTGATATAATTTTAAAATCGTAACAGAATTCGTTTTCCCTAACTTTGAGGTTCTACTCGTTATCTTTGTGCGCTAAACGTGGATGTGGCAAGTTTCCGTCTCGACCTTTCTCTTTTTCCCTCTGCTGCTGCGGCTCACTCCTCGTGCTCTTCCGCAATTTCCTTTGCGAGTCCTCGCAGATCGCGGAAGATGGGTAGGTGATCGAGCCCACCCCCGTCGCCCTACGAATAGGAGTTGGAAGAGAGATGATGGATCGAGGCGAGGGTCTAATCGGGCTTCTCTCAAGTACTGCTCCATCAACGGCCTGGAATGGAAGGGACGAATTCGCGGAAACAGCCGATGAAAGCCACCGGCCCAGGTATTTAACTGAGGCCCAAAATCCACGGCCGCCGGTGAGACCTGAACCGTCCGACTTCTTGGTCAACGAAGTTGTAGTTACTGTCTGCCTGCCTGCTAATAGGGTTGGCATACGCTCTCATTTCTCCGGACGTCTTTTTTTAAGTAAAAAACTGTCCGGGTGAATTTTACTAGAAAGGACGATATTTCTTATTCGATTATATATATATATATATATATATATATATATATATAGTACGAATTCATGCTAAATGCATATAAATATATAAAGAGTACAAATTCATGCTAAATGCAACCCATAGCACACGCACGATATTTTTACTATCGTTAAATAACTCATAAAACGTTCTGGGGCATTAAAAACTAACGTTTGAGGCCAAAGGCTTCAAAGAAACGTGTCTTGGAGATTTTTACATTTTTGCTTGTTTCCATTTCCATTTTAATTCAATTTACATATAAACTGCGATGACCCGGTATGGCGTCAAGCAGGACAGGACGAGCTGGGGAACATGGCAATGTGCTTTGTGGTGTTTATATTTCGAGCAGGTTACAAAAAGAAAAGCCTTCTTTAATGCCATTCTTAAAAGTTCAAACATTTGTTGCAAGTTTCAAAGAGAAGGAAAGTTTTAATTGTCTAGGAAGATTTCATCCACCAAATACTTCAGATATAAAGTGTAATGATAATGAAGGAGATCTATTGTGTGATTGTGAAAGTGATCACAATGGTTGAAATATTTATTTTGTCAATAGTGTTTTGTCTTTAAAAAAAATTGTTTATAGTGTTTTCTTTTTTATAAAATTCTTCTTTTTCCATAATGAAAGTATGGTAACCCTTTTGACTAAATTATTTTCTACCGCAAAGACGAGCTGAGATGGCTGGTGACGTTACGTCATGAGCGGAAAGGCCTAGTGTTGGAGTTGTGTCGGAGGCGGACTTTCGTCGCTAGCTGCACATCTAGGTCGAATTCACGTAGAGTGTGAAGGAGATTTCTAGCGGCTGGCTGCTCTGATTGGTAGTTTTCCATGGTTTGCCCGATAATACGAGGAGATTGCTGGAGTATTGCCTTAGCAACCAGGTCATAAACCGTGCATTCACTCTATCGCTCCAGGTGCCTTGTGTATCTACCTACTAAGGAACTCTCCACAAAGATGCGGATATAATTTTAACATAACTAACAGTTAAGTGGTTTGACTAAGATTGAAGGCGGGCATGTTAGGAGATTTACCGAAGTATATATTGGCTGGGGTTTTGAGCTTAAAATCTTGTTTTGTTATCGCTATTTCGGGAGGAAGCATGTGTGAAAGGCTGTAATAACATGGCAATATGAAAGGCATAGTTTATTCTTTGTGTAGGTCTACTGCGCACGATTTTTTGACTCCAGGTACTTCCGGACAACTGGTAATTAAAATGTGCAACTAAATGTGAACGAGAGATACCTCTTCCGGGCATTGAATTCAACATTTCATACTTTCAATAATTGCCCATTATTCCTCGCAATTAAAGTCAATATGTCAAAATTTTCGTTACTTATGTAACGAAAGATGACGTAAAGTAACGATGTTGTATATGAAGTAGAAGTTTCTGATAGTATCGGCTGTCGATCTCTTCCCTCTGCTGCCTGCAGATTACCCTGATGGCTGTCACTGTATGTTCCTAAGTTGGATGAACAAGAGTTCTACCAATCTTTGCTCTTACACAAACAATTTAAAAAATGGAATTTATTGCATTCGTTCTTGTAGATGTATTGAAGTTATCACATAATATGTGCGTGATCACAAATTAGAAAAATAATATCTCATATTATACATGCGATAGTGCAATCGTGAAGGGCCGGTAATGCAACTCCGAAAAAATGGAAACCAGGTGTTTAGTTGCTTCCTTGTACATATCTTTTGCATTAAAGTGGCGCTGAATTGGTGGATCTTCTATTATCATTCTTCCTTTATTGTCAGCTTTACTATCTTTCATGCAATGGAGGGCAATGACAAACAAGGTTGAGTGTCTTCGAAAAGTGAGGCACAATTCTACATGCCTTCTCCCTCGCCTCTGCTTAAGGATTGAGCAAGGTATCATCAGTTGATGCATTGAAGATCGATCCTTACAATACTATCTGTCTGTCTGTCTGTCTGTCTGTCTGTCTGTCTGTCTGTCTGTCTGCCTGTCTGCATGTCTGTCTATCTAGGTCGAATTCAGCTGTTGTATGGAGGAGAATTTTAGCTGCCGGCTGCTCTGATCGGTCATTTTCCGGGGTTTCTTTGATCAACACCAGGCGAATGCCGGAGCAATTTACCAACAAACGGGC